CATCGATGGGTTCAGAGAGTTTTCACACAGACGTGTCGACATTTATCCGGCAATCCTGAACCGAACTGAACACATGTTGGGAATAAAGGTGGACACAAAGTGCGAGATGAAAGAGTCCTACCCCGAGGCTAAATACACATCTTTTACCGTGTTGATTGTTAAATTACTTACAAAGTATTTTGAGTCAGCGCTTTAATCAGATTTTCTATAAAATTACTAATTATTTTTGTATATTAAGAGTTTATACGCTGATAAACATACAATAATTTGTGATTAAAAACTTGTTTGATTTCAATTTTTTGCATTGTTGTATTTTTAGTGCGTTCATTTATTTAACTAATTGTTTTCAAACGTACTTGTTGATATTATATTATTACTACGGATTTCGAAATTTGGCGTGAGAGAGAGAGAGAGAGAGAGAGAGAGAGAGAGCTATTGGTTAATATAATAAAATGTATTAAATATAATTATATTACTTTTAGGTGTAATATATTGTGGACAGGAAGAGGAAGAGGCGGCCATTGATATCATATCCGCAAAGTATGAGAGATATGGCAATGGAGTCGAAGCACCGGAAAAGTTGGAAATCATTAAAGAGAAGTGCAATGAATTGGGCTCAACAAATAGCACGGGTAGACTGTGAGTAGTCATTGTATTTAATTAAATATATTGATATTTAATTATATATTGCAGTTTCTGGGATATAATAACCGGTTTGAAATGGGCAGGGTACCTCAAACCAAAAATCCGTGAAGTTATGCTAGAGAGTCCCACCATTCAATTCTACGACAAAGTTAACTTGTTTTGCAAACTGCCCGAAGACAAAATGTTGAAATACACACCCATTATAAACGCTAAACTGACCGACACTAAAAAACTACGCGACCGTTTCCTTGGATACCTAGAAGATGCTATGAAGCAGTCGAGAATTAACATGGGCGAAATAGTATGGTATGGATTTGTTATTTGTTATCTATCTTTATATCTAAGATAATATAAGATATATGATGATTTATAAAATAGTAAACAGGCTCAAATTTTTTTTATAAATATTAATATAAACTCGGCATGCTAAATTTATTTAATAACTGTTCTATACTTATCATTTTTATCCGGTTGTGATTTAAATCTTAAACAGTTCAGAATAAAAAGTTTTAATTACAAATGAGGTAAATCATATTAAATAATTAGCATTTTTATTGGTTCAAATGATAAATAGGTGGCCTAACCTTTCCTAACCTATCAAATGATGAAGGGGTGTAAATAGAATTTTGAAATTGGTTTCATAATTTAAATTGACATCTCTAGGCACCAGAATCCAAGTTTCATCAAGATCGGATAAATAGTTTAAGAACAGGAATTTTTCAAAGTTTGTCAGTCGGAATTATTTTAAAAAATTTGCAACAAAATATTTAACTAAAAATTTTAAAGTGAAAATATTTTACTAAAGATGTGTTTGAAGTGATTATTTGGTTATTGGGATTCACTATTAGTTATCAGACAATATTTTAGTGTAGATATCATGACATCAATTATAATGGGAATCAATTGCGAACCCACCGAACACAGGCCGCCAATCGACTAAATCATCGATTTTTGTGTGGCCACAGTTGGGGTAGCGGTCAGTGTTGGCCAATGAATAGTATACTGTTTTATACATTGAATAATAAAGTTCTCAGAAGAGGAAGGGTTTTGAATTATTTAAATGAATATTTAAGCATGATCAATTTAACTATGATTTCAATCATCGGTAAATACAAAAACGGACCCCCTTCCATAGGAATACATTAAAACGACTGACAAACTTTGAAAAATTCCTGTTTTTAAACTATTCATCCGATCTTGATGAAACTTGAGCCTAGAGATGTCAACTTAAATTATAAAACTAATTTCAGAATTCTATCTACACCCCTTCATGGTTAAGCCACGTTTTTCTCATTTAATCCAATATATACACATTACAACAAATTAATATTGTGATAAACATCTACAAGCCATTAATAATATCACTATTTTTTTATGTATTGTAGTTAATGTATTGTAATGTTTTATGTACAATAGTTAAGTTCTCATTATTAACTAAATGAATTGGAACAGCTTTGTTAATAACACTATAGTTAATGTACCCCCTAACATTTCTAGCCTTTCATATTAACTTTTGAATTTTTATCACAATAGTAATTTTTTCATTTACATTTTACTAAAACTAACTTTTACCTTATTTTTTAACTCACATTATATTTTGTGTTATTTGTTTGAACTCTATATTTCTCTCCCCATTTGTAACGATATATTTAACTAAACATTGATAAAAGTTTGTGTATAAATTTTACCTATAAAATGTGCCCATCAAGACAATATGATAATAAAATATGATTGTAAAAAACATGTTAAAATTTGAATATTTATAAATACAAAGTTTCATAATATTAATATTTTGTTTACACTAATAAAACAATTACAGCATTGGCCGTGACTTCTGGGCTAAAGTGATTGATATGCACGACGACATCGATGGGTTCAGAGAGTTTTCACACAGACGTGTCGACATTTATCCGGCAATCCTGAACCGAACTGAACACATGTTGGGAATAAAGGTGGACACAAAGTGCGAGATGAAAGAGTCCTACCCCGAGGCTAAATACACATCTTTTACCGTGTTGATTGTTAAATTACTTACAAAGTATTTTGAGTCAGCGCTTTAATCAGATTTTCTATAAAATTACTAATTATTTTTGTATATTAAGAGTTTATACGCTGATAAACATACAATAATTTGTGATTAAAAACTTGTTTGATTTCAATTTTTTGCATTGTTGTATTTTTATTGCGTTCATTTATTTAACTAATTGTTTTCAAACGTACTTGTTGATATTATATTATTACTACGGATTAGTGAACGAAA